AAGCCAGTAAATAATGAGTTGTTTCAAAATTGATGTGACATTATGTCTTAGAATCAGATATTCACTTGTTATTTCTCAACATAGGATAAAACAAAGTCGCTTTCTCTGTCACTATAATATCCCTAAATATTCAGCTGGAGTATTTAAAACTGCGCAACTGTTTTTGATGCAGTTTTTTTAATAGATGGAGAGATTTAGTATCAGCATTGTCACTATTTATTAATACAACTCATATGGCGGCAACAAATCTCGTGAGTTTATCGTTTACTTGGCAATCGATCTGTTACTACATATTTGAGTTACGTAAAGGTCAAATCGTGTCGAGTACGAGATCGTATGCAGCGTACGTATACAGTAAACGTAGTAACGCGTCAAGTTAAATATAAAGTACTTACAGAAGATGATGTATTTAACTGTACTTTAATACTAGGATTTTCTCCTGTGTCATGGGCGTGGGTGCGTTTACAAACATAGACACACACATTACATGTTCAGCCGGGGTTGCGGATTAAGCGCAATGAGTCACCGCGGCCTCGGCCCAGAGCAGGAGAAGGAACGGGGTGTTTTTTTTTAGACACACACATTACAGAATCAATAAAATCTAACAAAGAACAGCTTAGTGTTAAAACAAAAGAAGCCCACACTGTCCTAGGTAGGTACCTACATTTTTTTAAGGAATAGGAGGCAAAGGAGCCGACTGATCACCTCATGTTAGATGTGATCAGCGCCGCTCATGGACAGCACACACCTGAAGCACCAGAGGAGTGACTTTAAATGAATTATTGTTTTGTATTGAATATAGGTAAGCCTTGAAGACACTCCACATAAGGCACTAAGTAGGTACCTAAGTTGTAAAGCAAATAGCCAATTAAAACTCCTTTCCACGATACCATTTTCTTGAACACATCACATCAATCACATTATTATCATCAGCCTATAAATGCTCACTGCTGAATAAACTCATCTTCTCACTTGAGGAAAGTTTGAGCATTAATCAGCACAACTGCTTGGTGATACTAAACTAAAATTAGAAATAGAAGTCTAGAGATTTTGGGCGAATTCAATTAAGTATTGCTTAAAATAATTGCATGTAACTGGCAAAAAACATGGATCGTGAAAATGGGGTTTTACTCACAGTACCTAACTAAGTAGGTATTTAAAATTATACTATAAGAGAAAAAACAGAAAGAAAAATGTTAACAATGTTTCCTTGTTACCTACTCCGGTTGAATTATTTCGTCTTTTTAAGCAAACCAGGTGTGCTTTCAAGACATCTGCGTAATACCACAGGAGAACTAAATAATTGTTTAAGGACATCGACCACAGCGATATTCCATTCTCGTTTCACCTTTACCTACGTGCAAATTGTTCTAGAGTCTTAGAACACATAAGAAAACCCTTGTGTTGAGGGCACGTCAAAGGAAAATTTTTCTTATATAATAAATAGCGAAAGTTTTTAGGTGAATGGGTGTTTGTTACTTTTTAATTTATTAAAAACTACGAAACGTCGGGTCCGTTTATTGTAACGAATAGTTTAATGAAAATTGATATAGTAATACAAAGATGGCATGGCAAATGGTTATTAGATCGCCTAGAGTAACACAACGGTTACCTTTTACCCTAGTACTGCTGACAGATCCGCTGTCCGAAGCTGCGCAGGTCGTCTTATGTTATAAAAAGAAAAGATTAGATTTTTTATTTGTTACAATTGAGTAGGATCCGAAACGGCTTGACCGATTTAAAAAAATCTTTTTCTATTGGGTAGCTACACTACTACATGTGGCCCGTAGGTTAAGGAGCCCGCTTCTCATGCATGACGGTGTGGGTTCGAAACCTGGCAAGTACCAATGTGACTTTTTCCGAGTTATATAGATTTGCTTAGGGAAATGATAAAAACTTGTTGTTATTTTAACATCCTCCGTGATTTGATCAAATCCCTGTTTTTATCATATTCCTGCGACATATGTACTTTCTATGATTATTTAGACACCACTGACATACGGTGAAGGTAAACATTGTGAGGAAACCTGGACTTATAATTTCTAATTATAAGTTTGAAATCGCCAACCCGCATTGAGCAAGCGTGGTGATGCTCTAACTTTCTCTGTGTGAGAAGAGGCTTTTGCTCAGCAGTAAGCACTTATAGGCTGATGATGAAGCTACACTGTCCCTGGCGAACATAAGCTTTAAACGACGTGAGTGATACCGCGGGGCATGAATGATACAAAAATGTTTTCACGCCCTTTTACTAGTAGGGTTGGGTCAGAAAATCTTAACATCGGAGTCGTACAGACAATGAGCAATTTCCTAGCCAATAGGAATGATACAACTGCCATATTTGAGCCTGTTGTCATGGAAACTCCAACTCTCAATATATTATACGTATGTAGGTACCTACACAACAACTAGACTAATGAAGCAATCACTCAACAAAGATACCTACACCTACTATATAACATAGTTCATTTCAATTGTATGAAACAAGTAAATGATTTCTATTGCCTTCTATGTAGATCATAAACGTTGGAAACGAACTTTGTACCATTATCAATAAACACGTTTAACTAGTTGTTTACCGTTTATTGCTAACACGGTCATATGGAATATGGTTTCTAGGTTACAAGTTCTATATTGTTATTTATAAATGGTCTTTAAGGCAGAGTCGTAATATTGAAGAAATATGGGCTCTAACATTCCACTTTATAGCGAACTAGCTACCTACTCTCGCGCGGTTTCACCCGCTGCTCGGCTCCATTTGATTGTAGCGTGATGTGTTATAGCCTATAGCAAGCAGGAACATTGTAGCTATCTATCAGTGAATGAATTTTGGCAATCCGACCAGCCGTTCCAAAGATTAACCCCTACATACAAACTTACAAACATATAAGCTAACAAACTTACAAATTTAACCTCTTTATAATATTAGTATACTTAGATATAGATTTACTGTACTTGATGTTCTTGCAACTTCTGTTCAAATCATCGAATGATTTCTGCTCTAGGGCCCGGTACATTATTGCGCCTGACAGCAGCCCTGGCTAAAACTTCTGACGCTTGGAGGAAAAATCAAATGAGGATACAGTTGAACAAATCAAACAAAACTGTACAAAGGTCTTAGTGTAAAAATATTAAAGTGACTAGTAGGTACTAGTCGAGTTATTTGCTTTCACACAAACACTAAAATAACGTATTGTTCATCTGTATATATTTTTTTCTAAATCGTATTTAACTTTTTTTGGCTTTAATGTATTGCGTATGACTACAAAATTTAATTAGAAACGGTTCAGCTGTTTCCATGATTTCTGACCTGAATATCTTTACTGCCATGTACCTAATCGCTCTTATCATCTAACAAAATCAAAGCTGTTGAGAAAAATCTAGTCAAGGATCGTGCCCCTATCGTTCTATACATTCAAATAGTAAATACAGATAACTAAATTCATATTTAAACTAGTTCAAAGGGGAAAAGGGTATGCCAGTTTGACGACCCCAATAGCGCAGCGGCGGAACGGCTTCCGGAACAAAGATTCGATTTCCGCACCAGACTTACGAGAGCGAAACGTCGAAAATAAGATTAGAAACAGTAGGAAGTTCATATTTATTTATGTTTAAGTATGTTTATTTCATTAACTAAAATTCGCGGGTTACTCACGTGTAAATGTTGAGAAAAGCTCTACTAGTTTCGAACCACAGAGGGGTTCTTCCTCATGAGCAGCGTGCGCGGACGCGGCGACGTCGCGCAGCCTACTCTAGTAGAGATCTTCATGCACAGATCAATATTCCATCCCACACAACCATGGGCATTTTATACCAGTCAAACCTTAGGTTGATGCAGAGATAAACTTAAACTAATTGTACATCTACAAATGCATGTTTCAATTTAAATAATCAACGACCAGTTACAAGTACCACCTACCTTAACTAGTTACCTAAATATGATCTAGTTATCTCAATCCGACGTTCCATCATCGTCCTAGTTCCAATTTCCAAACATAAGCCCCTAATCTGACCTTCGTAACACAACAGTTTTCTTAAGAAAATATGAGAACATTTCTCCAAACTGCTGGCATGCTTCGAATACTCATAAAGCTGTATAATATATGTGTATATGTATATACCAACAATGTGACAGTTCTGGAAATAAGCCAAGTAGGTACATTACATGTAGTTCTTATAGTCCAAAACTGTTGTATGAAAAAAGGAAGGCTTGCGAATGGCGATATCTAGTGTAATTTATATTTGGAACAATGTCTACTACGACAGCTTGAGCTCTGTACCGAAATAGGAAGTCTTTTTCTTAGATAACGATATAAAAGTGTCTGCATTGCAAACTTTTTTGTCTGGCTTCTCCCCAACAAAGATTGGGGCTTGAGATTGGTTCGTATTGTAACTTTTATGGGATCGCCTGGTCAGCAATCGGCGATGCCCTTCTCAAGAAGAGAAGAGCTGCAAGTACGTTGCCAGCAGTCAAAGATTGGGAATAGGGGGATTGGCCACCGGTAACCTAACACATACTTTTAAAAAAATGTAATGGTTATATTTCAAGCACGGAAAGACATTCTTAGTTAACGAGGATATATTCGAAAGATTTAACAAATCCGAAGTCGACTTAAGCAACCAGATCAGATAAAAGGGCTGGAATTTGCAAAATTAAAAAGAGGAAGGCAACATAACATAACACGTTTACAAAAATACGATAATTTTGCGAATCTGTTGTCTAACAGACGAAATTGCGTCATCATTTGCTCTGTAGACTACAAACTCTTGAATCACGACTCGAGAAAAACCTTGTAACAATGTTTCAGCCTTCATAGTAACGAAAGAAATTGAATGTGACCGCACAGTATAACAGAAACCATAAAATACAAAGTAGATAGATAATTTTACCAGATAAAAACTTGACCGAATGACTTCAATATCACGGGGTCAAAAAAAGGTCAGCGGTAAAAAAAACAAAACGTCATTTACATTCCAATTTTAAAATAAAAAAAATGTCCTACCTCGGTCTATGCTTGACTCAGTAACACCAGCGCAGGTGGAGATCGGAGAACGACTGATAACAGTAGCACATGTCAACCGTATATCATAACAATCAATATCTATACCTACGTATGTACACATGTATATTGCACATTGGACTTTATAACACTTAATTAACGGCAAAATGATCTTAATTGAACTTCCGCTAGAGTTCAAATTTAGGTACGGTTTTATTACGTCCTTTCCTAGTTTATCACCGCGACATCAGGCCTTTGAGTCCGGGTTAATAAATTAATCTCGTGTAAAGAGCTCTCTTGTAAGCGCCATGTAAAACAAAAATGAATTTATGGAATTTTGATGAAGTTATTCTGTTTTCATTATGTGGGAGCGGTTTATTTGCATCAAACTTAAAAATACTTATGTGTTAATGAGCTTGATTCTTCTAAACATCAACTCTGCGTAATAAATAATGAGGTTTAAAATAGAATTTGCTTTATAGTTTTACGCATAGGTCACCTCATAAAATATAAGGATAAAAATAACAACGCTTGCGTCACATAGTCACATCAATACGAATCCATCCCCAAATCCTCTAATCTACGGTGCGCTGTGGAAATTTACGCGAAATGTAAATCTGTTCTTAGTTGCAAATGTAAGTCATACCATTGTCGTGTATTTTCTCCGATTTCCTACGGCCCGTAACGGCTACTGGTCTTGCCAGTCCACGTGCGGCGCCGATTGTTTACGATCAGGTGATAGGTCTCTTCATTAGTCAATACCCCATTAAAAGATTCTAAAAACTTATTTTGAAAATATATTTTAGTAGGATTAACGCTCGCGTTGACATACGGACAACTTTCTAAAAGTTAGCTAGACAATCTAGTATTTAAGCATTGTTAATGTATGTGCTAATAAACTAACATACCCAGTATTTATATAAATATATATTAACTACTTAGGCCTAGTTAAAGTAAGCACATAGTACTAGATTATTTAAAACGGTAGAGGAATTCTTTTAAAGAGTTTTTTAACACTCTTAAATTAATTTTCGCATCCAGCCAGTGTTAATTGAGTTAGAAAATAATTTTAAGCGATCACTTCCATTTTTAGTTCATATTATTATGTGCTCTTGTTTAAGACGTCAGGAGATCAAATAAAATCAGCTGTTAGGTTGCACTTGCATATCATAAAGTCACCAAATTGATGTCGTTTACTATTTTTTTATTAAAAGTAAAAAAACTGTCTTCTTTTGGCTATTTTTATTGTTTGGACATAAACGTTCTACGACGGTCATTTGCAGTTTCCTTACTTATAACATTCGCGTGCATGTGTAAGTATGCATAGCTGTTTTATAATCACCACTAGCGGCCCGCCTCTGCTTCGGACGGGTCTATCTCGCTATCAAAGGGTCACTTTTTCCTAATCTTCCCCTCTTATTTTCTTATATTTTCTTTGATAAGAATCGTCTCCTGACAATAACAAACACAACAAAAAAAGAATTAGCAAAGTTGGCCCAGGCGTTCTTGAATGCACTTACCAACACATTTTGCGATCCATTTTTATATATAAAGAAGATTAAGTATTTATAAATAACTTATCTTCATAACAAAGGGGAATAATTGATTGCAGAGTTACTAAACATATGTAGGGATGTAGAATTAAACAGTCATTTACGGAAAAAATAAACACTTGCCTATATAATAATCCAAGGACAATTTAAGACTAAAATCATGATGACGAAGAAATCGATATCAAGTACACAACCTATTTGCTTTGGTGATTAAATCTTTGTCGGTAATCGGCATTACACCACGGAATTTTGATTTTCGTCACAGTCATGATGTGTAATAAATAATTATTTAAATTTAAAAAATAAAATATACCAAATTATAATAAAAACCATTTAAAAATATAATTACTTACATATATCTTGGCTCCAAAAAGTTTTTTATCTTATTCGATTTATTTATTTACCAAATATAGACAGCGCACTAAACACGCAGACTGAAGCACGAACGTCCTTAACAAAACTAAGCGTTCAACAAATTTTAAATCAGGGTAAATTACGAAATCACGCACGCGTTACAATTTATCATAACATAAGGATCTTAATTTAGTACAATGTACACTTCTTTTACACACAGTCCTCACACACTCACAAGTTAATCACAGAATCATGAATGAATGATGTTTACTTTTCCCGCCCATTATGCCAATGTCACGTTCAAAAAACGAACCGTCTGTTTAGGCAGTAAAAAGTGGAATAAAAAAACTACCAAAAACATAGACACATTTACCTACGTTTTATTCACTGTTTATAATGCAAACGCCGTTTATAGAATGATAATAATGTGTAACTAGGTAACGTTTTATCAATTTTGTTATCGTGTGTTTGGACTTTAGAGATGGCCAAAGTACCGATCCGCAGTTGCAATCGTTCATTTGTTTATCTTGATTGAGTGTAGAAAATGTAATTTTATTCAAATCGGTGATAAGAATAGAAAAAGGAGGTCAAGTCTAACCGACGTTTAGTTTTAGTTAGGTTATCTACCTTTTTTTGGGCCCTATACATAAAATAGTTTTTCAATGCATTTTAACTATAGAGTGAAAAACGATAGGTACCAGACATGATAACGTTTTTTTTTATGTAGAAGGTTTCAAATACAAGTTTAATCCTCATATAACCAAAAGGCAACTCAATCTGGTTTATAAAAGTAAAAAATATAATTGATTAACGTTAATGAATTACAGCGTTATAAATCAGGATCAGGATCACGACTACCAACGAGATATCGATAATTATTATTAATCAATCAAGAATTAGATGTATCCTGTAATTTAAAATTTTGCTCTTATACATGTATATATGTTACCACTAATGGTTGCTACCCGGATTCATTTTAGGTATATATCTAAATTAGGTTGTATAAGAATGATGAGTATGTACTTAGTAGAAAACGCATTTTTATTTTGTTGGCATAATTTAGTTGTCATCTACTTAATTATTATTGTATTATGTTATAGAAATCCGCAGAAGTGGCTCACTTCTCTACTACCTACTGGTAACTGGTCAGTGGCTATAGATAGACTAGCCACCGACCAAAGCTGTCTCTGTTGGTTTTTAATCTTATTTACAAGAGATTATTCTTATCGAGCCGTAATTTCGAAATGTACTAGGCACTATATCAAATGTTAACGATACACACATTTTAAGTGTGGGAGAGCCATGCTTCGGCACGAATGGGTCGGCTCGACCGGAGTGATACCACGGCCTCACAGAAAACCGGCGTGAAATAACCACTGCGTTGTGTTTCGCCGTGTAAATGAGGTTACCGGAGGCCCAATCCTTCCCCTTCCCCATTCCCTCCTCAATCCCTAAATCTCCAAATCCCTAATCTCTTAAAGGTCGGCAACGCACTCGTAACACCTGCGTTGCGAGTGTCCATGGGCGCCGCTGATTGCTTACCATCAGGTAATCCGTCTGCTCGTTTGCCGACCTATTACATATAAAAAAAAAAAAAAAAAATGTTAGAAACACCAATGTGATTCTTGCAATGAAGATTCTTAGGTTTTTCATAGGAATTAATTTCCACTTTGAAATGAGCAACTAACTTTACTAGGCTGCCAATCGACAGACATACATATTTTTAAACTGGTTTTTAAGTGTCAGTGGTCTTATTGAAATAAATGCTTTAACTTACGTAGTGAAATAAGTAGGTTAGGTACATGTACCAAAATGCAAAATTGTTCCTAGACATGTTTCTGTTCACGTACCTGGATGAACAAGCTTTGCTCGGATTTTTGATTGAAAATGGTCCTTGAATGAAACCATTTTAATAATATGAAAGTACTTATACAACCTTCCATCAAAATCCTCTGATCCTTTCCGAGATATTTATCTCATGCCAGTTTTCTACTGAAAAATACCTACTTACACTCGTAATAAGAAGGTTTGCCGCAATCACCATTCTCCTCAGATGGGTAGGAGATAACCATTTGAAATATTCAAGATTGTATCAGTATAAAATAATTATAATCAAAGCCATTTAAATATATAATTACTTACATAATAAGTAGGTACCTATATATCTTAGCTCCAAAAAGGTTTTTTTAACTTATTCGACTTATTTATTTACCAAATATAGACAGCGCACTAAACACAGACTGAAGCACAGAATCATCAGAATGCGGTGCCGCCCGGTCTTTTGTCAAATTAATAATCTCTCAGCCGGGTTTATAATTCCCGCGAGAACCTTCAGGCGCGATATTGGTAACAAATCTATTATCTAAAAGTAGTAAATACGGAATTTGAAAACTCGCACACACAACGTCATCGTCCGCCTATAAGTGGCCTCTTTCTAAAGGAAAATATTAATAAACTTTATAATTGAATAATATAAGTTCAAATTTCCTCACGATGTTTTCTTTCACTCTAGGTGAGTAAATAAACTTTGAATCTTTCTAATATAGCTCGTAAAAAGTCATTTTGGAACTCCAGGTTTCGGACCAGTCCCTCTCACATGAGAAGCGAGTTCAGACGAGCGCCTTGCCACCACGACAACACGCAGCACTCGGATAACTAGTCAAATTCTAGCTAACAAACTTTTATCAAAAAGTCGAAAACGATCACTTTCTATGGATTTTTAAATGATATAACAATGCTAAGTGAAAAAGTACTTATGATTCGTCTTGACTTTTGTGTTGTACTTACCTAAGTATTGAAAAGTTAAAAGAGGTAGTTATTGTTGTTTATAAATCAATCGACTGCACGGTTGGTGCGGGTGGCTGGGCAACTAGCTACCGTGCAACGTGTCTTGGTTTGATTCCCGCACGGAACAACACTTTGTGTGATCCACAAATTGTTGTTACGGGTCTGGGTGTCATGTGTATGTGGCATTGTATGTTTGTAAACGCACCCACAACACAGGAAAAAATCCTGAAGTCAGGCAACGTATTTTGCTTCAAAAAATAAAAAATTAAATCACTATGTACCTATTGAATGTTATATATTTTCACCATGCATGAGTCATTGCACTTCTCGCGGACAGCAATAGCAGCTGGCAGTTTATATTTCGTTCGTAAGGCGTCATCGAGTTACGAATACTTACGAACTGAATTGAAGTGACTGGGAATGTTCTCACGATTCTTTCAAGTACCTGCACTG